GTGTCGGACACGGGGCCGAAGCTGGTCACGTAGATGTCCGTCCTCACCTGCGTGATGCGCTCTGAAAGACACGGGGCTGCCTGGGCGCGCGCCTGCGGGCCGGGCTCCGCACCAACCGCTCGCTTGGGGGCTTTTAGAATGTGTCTGCTACATTTGGGGGTCCTGACGAACCCCAGATGGAGCCAGGTGCTCCCCCCGGGACACAGCGCCCGTCCTGTGGGGCAGGGCGCATGGCCTGGTAAACCTGGAAAACGCGCCCAACCTCGCCAGCATCACCCCCAAAGAAAGCCAGCTGAGGATGGGGGAGCAGCCCGGGAGGAACCTCCCTCTAAACTGCACCCCAGGGTGCTGTCCAGAGAAAGAAGCCAGAGAGGACAGAGGCCCAGGGTGCGGCCTGGCCCCGAAAGGCTCGGGAGGGACACGGGACTCTGCGCCTTGTGTGGCACGTGGAATTGTTGGAAATGTCCATCAGGGGAAACCACTATTTCCATTAAATGCTCGGAAACCTGAGCATCTACGTTCTTTTTTACAGGCAAAAGGAAAGAAACCATTATTTGTAGAGTGGATCTTGGAAAATATATGGAGTTTGTACGATGCTGTCTTTTAAATGCCGTATTTTAAAGGTTAAAAGGGTGGCCCGGCAGGCGTGGCTCAGTGGTTGAGCGTCTTGACCCAAGAACCAAGAGGGTACCGGCTGGATTCCTGGTCAGGGCACATGTCTGGGTTCCAGGTGGGGTCCCCAGTAGGCGGCACGCAGGAGGCAGCCCATGGATGTTTCTCTCTCATTGATGTTTCTCTCTCTCCCTCTCCCTTCCTCTCTCTCTCAAATTAATAAAACCATATTTTTTAAAAAAATTATGGAGTATGCCCGGCCGGGCATGGCTCAGCGGTTGAGCGTCGACCTGGGATCCAGGCGATCGGGGTTCGATTCCCGGTCAGGGCACAGGCCCAGGTTGCGGGCTCGATCAATGACTCTCTCATCATTGATGTTTCTATCTCTCTCTCCCTCTCTTTTCCTCTCTCTGAAATCAATAAAGATATATTTAAAAAAAAATTATGGATTATAACAAAGCCATTAAAACAGCTAATGAGAGTGGAGGCACATGTATGTGTTCCCTGGATGCAGGGAGCCCTGTCACCCTTTGTGGCCGCGAATGGGGACCACATCCCGGGCACACTACAGCCCACCAGGAATGCCCCCCACTGCTGGAGGCACCATCACGGAGTCAGGTTCCCCGAGTTTCTCTCCCAGACCCTCGCTGCGGGAGACAGATACGCCCATGGTGTGTATTTGCATGTGCACAGACATCTGTGTGTTTTCAGTGCCTGTCTCCCCACGGAGGTGCAAGCCCCAGCGGGCCACCCTTGGGCTCTGGTATCCTCAGGGTCCCCCCTTGCAGGACTCTGACTAGAGCTGGTGAGTGAGACGGGGTCCCGTGCCAGGAGCCTGAGGCATCTCTAATGCTGTGATCCTGTGGGCACGTTCCAAGGGGCAGACGCTGCAGGACATGGAGGCCCAGGGACATCACTCGGAGGGTGAGGCAAGGTGGCATCTGGGAGCCTGTGTGGACTTTTCTTTGCCAAAAATGCAGAGAATGGCAATTCATGCTTTCAGTGTTAAAAATGCAAATATGTGCCCTGCCCGGGGGGATCACCAAAAAAAAAAGCTGCAGGTTGGATTCCCCGTCGGGGCACATACCTAGGTTGTGGGTCTGATCCCCTGTGGGAGTGCTTAGGGAGGCAACTGATTGATGTTTCTCTCACCCATTGGTGTTTCTCTCTTTCTCTCCCACCCCCTCTCTCTCAAATCCATTTTAAAAAATGCAAATAGCCCGGCCGGGCCTGGCTCAGCAGTTGAGCGTTGACCTAGGATGCAGGCGATCAGGGTTCGATTTCCGGTCAGGGCACATGCCCGAGTTGTGGGCTCGATCAATGACTCATCACTGATGTTTCTATCTGTCTCTCTCCCCCTCCTTTCCTCTCTCTGAAATCAATAANAAGTTGTGGGCTTGATCAATGACTCATCACTGATGTTTCTATCTGTCTCTCTCCCCCTCCTTTCCTCTCTCTGAAATCAATAAAGATATTTTAAAAAAATAAATAAAAATAAAAATAAAAAAATGCAAGTAATGGAGAATTAAACTTTTTGCTCTGAGAATGTAGTTGTTGCTGGAGGTTCTCTAACTTCCCTAGTGGAGCAAGTTCACACGCACCACACGTCAATCCGCTAGAGCCAAGGGCCTCACGCGTGCCCAGAAATGCACACGATGCTCAGCACGAACTTAAGCTGCACCGATCAGGCCCCCCGAACACGCTATACTATTGTTACCAACTCCCATGGGGTCAAAGTACTACTAGGATTACGGCTCCGGTGAAAATATTAAACGTCACGTAAAAAGGTGTCAAAACGGCGTGGAACCGTGGGTTTCTGAAAGTGACCTGCGCAGACACGAGAGCGCGATGTTGGTTATAAAATGTTTCTTAGCATCGGGTGATCTCAGCTGTAGTGACACCTAAGAACCGGTCCCTTCTCAAGTCAACCAAATGGACATCGGAATTGTCTGGGGGAAGGGAGCTGGCAGGGCCCCCTTCCCCAGCTTCTTGCGCCCTGGAGATGATGAAGCCCCAGCAGGGAGCGGCACTCACCCCCGAGCCCCGGCCGCAGCCTGTTGTCGTAGCCATCCAAGAGCCCGTCCAAGATCCGGGTGAAGATGGTGATGTTGTCATCCTTTACCGAGCCGGCTGGCATCTGCGAAAAGCTTTTGCACAGAGAAACAAAAAGGGTTCGAACTTGTATTAATTACTTCTGATAGATTCTTCTCAAGAGAAAGAAACAGGGAGTGAGTTGTCCAGGAGGGAGGGCACGATCGCCTCCCCCAGCACCGAGGGGACCGTTCTGCAGAGATCAGCCTTAATTCCTGAGCGCCCGGAGAGTGCTGACTCCGGGCTGTTCATCCATCAGCCCAACGGGATGGCCCGGTTCCAACCCTCCCTGATTCAGAAACCCTGAGTCATCAAATCGTTAGTGGGGTGTGGAGGGGACCTTTAAAAATCTTACGTGAGCCCTGCCTGGTGTGACTCAGTCGCTTCAGCACTGTCCTGAGCACTAAAAGGTCAGGGCGCAGGCTCGATCCCCAGTCGGGGGCATGCAGGAGGCAGCCGATGGATGCTTCTCTCTCGCATCGATGTTTCTCTCTCTCCCTCTCCCTTCCCCTAAAATCAATAGAAACATTTTAAAAATTAAAAAAAAAAACCTTAAATGAGTTGAAAGATCAGACTGATGTGCCCACATGTGACTGTACCTCTAGCTGGGAGCATCTGTGCTGTGAGCACTACGCCTGGGCCACAGCAAATGGTGACAGAAATGATGGAGTCTGTGAAATCGCTCCAGACCCCCACCCGGCACATGCAGCTCAGGCCACAGCACGGGACCCGGGGCCATGGACGGTGAGGCCCAGTCTCAAAACCCTGGCTGGGTTTTACTCCCTACCACCTACCATCAGAAACTCAAAGGCACAGTGCTCTGTGTGACCCCATGTGTTGGACATACGATAAAACCCAAACACGAGTGGCCTGAGCCCTGGCCCGTGTTGCTCAGTGGTCATGGTTAGAGCGTCAGCCCGAGCACTGAAGGGTCACTTGTTTGATTCCGGGTCAAGGGCACGTACCTGGGTTTCAGGTTCGACCCCCGGCCCAGCTCAGGGCACGTGGGGGGCGCACCCACTGATGTTTCTCTCACATCGATGTTTCTCTCTCTCTCCTCCCTCCCTTCCTTCCACACTCTCTAAAAATCAATGAAAAAAAATATCCTCAAGTGAAGATTAATAACAGCAACCAAAAAAGGGGGCTGAACCTTCCAGAAATAAGAACAGTTGCCCAGCCGGGCAGGGCTCAGCGGATGAGCATCGACCTAGGATCCAGGAGATCTGGGTTCGATTCCTGATCAGGGCACAGGACCTGGTTGCAGGCTCCTCGATCCCCAGCAGGGGGCGAGCAGGAGGCAGCTGATCAATGACTCTCATCATTGATGTTTCTCTCTCTCTCCCTCTCTCTGAAATCAATAAAAATATATTAAAAAAAAAACTCAAAACAAGAGTTGCTTTGCCCAATCCCATCCGGTTAGGCCACAAAGGCGGAGGGGGATGAGAAACTGCCCTGGGCAGATCCGGACGGTCTGCGGAAGTGACTCGAAGAGAAAGGAAATGACCGTCTACAGGAGGGTGACACACGGAAATACCACGGACCCCACCGCAGGCTCCCGCAGCTGCTCCCGGACGGGCCGACAGAAAGGGGCTCGGAATCATCAAGACCTTGACCGACACACTGGCCTTGGCATCAAGGGGAACTTCCCGGCTCAGAGCCAGCTGCGGGTCCCAAGAAAGTCAGCGCCCTGGGCGGCCGGGGAAAGAGTAGGCGAGTCCCGGAGCCTCCGGCGGGGCTGGCGGGGGGCCCTGGCTCCGCTTCCCCTGCTTCCTCTCCGTGAATCGGCTGCGAGTTGACAGCCGGCCTCAGGGCCAGACGCTGAGGGCAGAATCGATGTGCGCCCGTCCCTCCCTGTTCTTGGAAACGGGTCCCTGTCATTGATCAACTCCAAACAGATCAATTCCCTTCTGAATGAGAGTGTGGACAGTTCTTTGGATCTAATTTTCACATCCCCATTAGAACACACCCTGGAAGCTCTAACAAGCTCAAATTCAGTCCGGTTAGCACAGGGCCCCCACACAGCCATTTCCTCTGCGACTTGGCTGTTAAAGATATTCAGTCCCGCCCTGGCCAGTGTTGCTAAGTGGTCAGAGCGTCCGCCCGAGCACCAAAGGATCTTGGGTTCGATTTCTGCTCAAGGGCACGTATCTGGGTTTCAGGTTTGATCCCTGGCCCCGGTTGGGGCGCCTGTGGGAGGCAACCAATTGACGTGTCTCCCTCACATCATGTCTCTGTCTCTGTCTCTCCCTCTCCCCACCCTTCCCTCCTTTCTATTCTTCTTAAAAACAATAACAACCAAAAAAAAAACGGAAAAAATATCCTTGGATGAATATTAACAACCAAAAACCCACATTAAGTTCCCTTTCCTCTGAGATCCACTGCAGAATTGGAAGATCTCAGCCTCGCAGACCCTCCGCCGGGGCCCGGGGCCTTGCCACTGTCCTCCCGGTTTGTAAAGGGAAGACAGAGCGACGTTCCGGACTTGCCCAGCGAGTCACTGTGGGTCACCCCAAATCTGGCGTCCCTGTCCCCTTCCCGCGGTGTTGACGGCTTCCCCGTTGGGCTGTCCCATCCTGGGCCACGGGGACCTGTCCCATATCTGGAAGGTCCTCCCTGGCCCTGTAACTCAGAACAAGGCCGAGAGCACGCACAGCCGGAGAAAAGCACGTCGCTTACACGCGGCGTCAGCCGGGGCCGGGGCCGAGGCCCTGGGGAGACGCTGCCGGTGAACGGTGATCGTAATTCACAAAACCGTGCTGTACGCTCCAGAGGAAAAAAGAGAATAGGCCTTAAACAGTCTCACCACAAAAAGGGAACCGTGATGCTCCGGCCGGGTGGCCCAGTGGGTTGGCCTGTTGCCCGTGAACCAAGAGGTTGCAGGTTCGATGCCCGGTCAGGGCACATGCCCAGGGTGTGGATTTGAGTCCCTGTCGGGGTGTGTACAGGACACAACAGGCCCATGTTTCTCTCTCTCTCTCAAATCAGTGAAAAACATACCCTCTAGTGAGAATTAAAAAAATAATAATATTGTCCGGCCGGGCGTGGCTCAGCGGTTGAGCGTCGACCCAGGATCCGGGTGACTGGGGTTCGATGCCAGGTCAGGGCAGATGCCCGGGTTTCGGGCTTGATCCCCAGCAGGGGGCGAGCAGGAGGCAGCCGATCAATGACTCTCATCATTGATGTTTCTCTCTCTCCCTCTCCTTTCCTCTCTCTGAAATCAATAAAGAGATATTTAAAATAATAATAATAATAATAATAATTTTTTTAAAAGCCTGTGCTGAGCGGAACCGGGGAGGTCCCTGGCCCTCAGGTCCCTGTGAGTACATGACCTCAAAGCTCCGGGAGACGCCAGGGGCTCGGCTCTTTGGGGGANTAATAATTTTTTTAAAAGCCTGTGTTGAGCGGAACCGGGGAGGTCCCTGGCCCTCAGGTCCCTGTGAGTACATGACCTCAAAGCTCCGGGAGACGCCAGGGGCTCGGCTCTTTGGGGGAGTCGATTCTTGTGAGCTGGGACTAGGTCTGTTATTGCGACAATAGTCTAAGACGCTGTCCCTGAAAATGGGCCGCCCGGCCTTGGGGATCGGTCAGGATGAGTTAACCAGCTGGTCGGAAACGAGAAGCCGTTCCTTAGGGTCAGCGTGTGTCGTCCACCAAACACGTCACACTCGGTCCACGCGCACAGGCCCCGCATGCTCAGACGCCGGCGGTCCCCCCCGACCCGCGGTCTCGCTTTCGCGGACTCAGCTACCCACAGTCCACTGCGTTCCGAGTATGTCACATGGAAAATCCCAGAGAGAAGCAGCTCATACGTCCTAAGCTGCAGGCTGCTGCGAGTAACCTGAAGCCTCCCGGAGCCCCGCTCCGCGCCGTCTGGGGGGGGCTCTCTGCTGGGGCTCCCCATCCGGGCTCGGTATCCGCCCCACCCGCCAGTCCCTCAGTGGCGCCCTGGTGATCAGGCCGACGGTCGCAGCCTCGCAGTGCCTGTGCTCCGGTCACCCTGGCTGTACTTAACAACGGTCCCCAAGGGCAAGAGGAGAGATGCCGGCCGTCGGGAACCGGGAAAGGGAAGCCGCAGGGGGCCGGCTTCCTCTCAGGGAAACGGCCAAGCGTCTCAGCTTAACAGGGACAGAAAAATCACACACTGAGGTGGCCGAGGCCCACGGTGGGAGGGGATCTCCTAGCCACGAAACTGAGGAGGAAGCAGGACGGTGCTAGTTTTGCTATCACCCTTCAAACTGCAAAAAGCCACAGCCACGGCGTGTGCCGAGTGCTGAGTGGAGACGGAAAAGGCCCCGGGGTTGCGGGAGGGAGACAGGAGAGGAAACAGGCTCTGCCAGAGAGCACTGCGCCTGCCCGAAGACCTCGGCAAGGGATCCCCTGAAACCGAGGGGGACACCGAGCCGGTAGCCGCGGCCAAGGGACGGTCACACAGATTCAGGGACAGGTTGGGACCGAGAAACAAAAACCGGCGGCGAGGCCACGTCTGCTGAGGAAGAAGCTGCGGCCACATTTCCGGCAGAACTGATGACCCCGATTGGGGTTCGGTGGTATCTGGGGCTCCCGGCATCCCCCGGGGGGCTCGGACGCCTGCGTTATGCTCCGGGAAAGGAGCCATAAAGGAAACACAGAACCAACCATCCAGTGAAAACCAGACATCTTCGTTTTCCGCACTCCGTCGTCTGAATGTCGGTCCACGTGAAAGACACGAGGTCTTCGTCTCGGACCGTGAACGGTTTCCAATGACTTTTGTTTGGAAATAAGGCCACCGAGCTCCCGATGCCAGGCTGAGGAGGGAAGGCCGTGGCTGGACACAGGCGGGCAGGGGCGGTGTTCACAGAGACGGAAAGACCCCTGCAGAGGCCCTGGCTGCGTGGCTCTGTGGCTACAGCATCTCTGGCCCGAGCACGGAAGGGTCNGCCCTGTGCATCGGGCCCTGGCTGCGTGGCTCCGTGGCTACAGCATCTCTGGCCCGAGCACGGAAGGGTCTTGGGTTCGATTCCCGGTCAAGGGCATGCACCTGGGTTGCAGGTTGGATTCCAGACCCTGGTCAGAGCAC